CGCCTTGTGCCGTCGAAGGACTAAAAATGGCCTGTGCCGGCGAGGGTTAAGGTCCTAGGTCATCGATTGACCTTCCAGGTCAGGTCAATGACCCAAAAGTCTTGAAAATCGGGACTTGTTAGAACGTCGTCGTTAAGTGTGGCTGCTATGTTTTTTTTCGGGGTGCTGATCACGAATATCATATAAGTTTTGATTGCAGGTGATGACTTTATGCATTTAGGCCAGGTCGGGTCAGGTCAGGTCAGGTCAACCAGTAGGGGTCGTGACGGGTATTCGTAGCACGTGTGAACAGCCTCTGACAGCTTCGTAGCATGTTACGAAGATACCAAAACTACTTCGTAAATGTTCAAATGTTTGCTAAATTTGAATTCAGCTCCAAAAACTAGCCTAGAAACATGCTACAACTCGAAAAAGTGAACCGAGGTCATCAAAGGTCAATGACGTGGCCTGACCTTCAGGTGACCTTGAGATCCACCCTAATACAGGGGACCGGCATCATATTACATGTTTAAACACTTACAACCACAAAAATCTGCAAACGCCCGGCTAATGCCAGCCGACATACGCCGGATCGCGATTCCGGCGAAACATGGTCTCGAGAAATAGGTCACAGGTCAAAGGTCATTTGGGTCAGGGTCATGAAATTTTGAGGGTAGGTGTAAAAATAAATTAACTCGAGGGTACGGAAAGTTTCGTCGCAATCGGCCGTTTTACGCGAGTTATTCGCGTAAAACCAAGGGGGTCCATTCGACACCCCCCATACGGGCGAGGGTTCAGACTAGAGATGTCAATCGGATACCAACTTTTTGGTATAACAATACCAAACTTATACCAGCTTGGTATTTGGTATTTCATGGCGAATGCAGTTGGTATTTTGTTGGTGTTACGAATCCTCTCTAATGTAAAGTGAGTAGTGGTGTCAATCGGTTACCAAAATTTCGGTATACCGATACCGAACCAATACCGATTCGGTATTCGGTATTATATACCAAAAGCATTTGGTATTTTGTCGGTATCATGAAAATCAACTACTGTCATAAAATATTTGAAAGCATTTTTGATAAACCTTCTGAACTCAAATTTGATTTTGCTAAATGACACTGGATGAAGAAAAATGGCAATCATGACACATTTCTCCCAAATGCATGATGTCCTAACAAATGGGCAAACACATCAACTGTAATATCAAATACATCAGTCTACCAATGTTAAATGGCAACATATCAGTGTTAGCAAATTCCAATGCCATGAGGATAATTATCCTACAAAGAAAGTCAATGTGCAAGACATAAACATGAATTAATGTTTAACTCACTGAATGCTGGAAAACATACTTAAACTACCTTTCTCAAAATTTCCAAAGCATTTATTAGCAACAAATTTGACTTTGCTTTGAGGAGTCTGTGATTGATCTTGACCTTGTCTTCCTCTCCATTTTACTGCAATGCAATTACATTATCCAAAACCCTGTTTAATACAGCACTAGCTTCACCATTATCATTTAATATTTAAGGCAGCATTTGTCACTTCATCATCACCCGCATCACCCCACAAATCTTCAACTTCGCTCAACTTCAAAAAGCCTTGTAGTGAGCGATGCTGTCATGATCCTGTGGATAATTTATTTTCTTCAATTAGTGTTCTTTCCTGCTCTCTCAACAGATACAGGTCGCTAGCAATTTAATCATAAGCACTCAAAAATATAATTGGCTTTTGGCTTGACTCGCACACAGCAGTTTCAAAACTGAACACATCTAAAAACATTTCAATGTCTCAGCTGCGCCAGGTTGAGGAACCGATATAGCTCAAAAACTAATTGAAAATAATTGAACAAGTATGTTTTTCTGGTACTTCATTTCTCAGCAAAAGTGGCCTACAACTTTCTTGAATTAATTTTAAGATGTCAAAATTTATACAAGGAATTTTGATTTAAGTGGATTTAAGCAAAAAAGAAAAGAAAAACTTTATTTTATACAGTTAAATCATTAATGCAAATGGCCGCCGCCTGTAAGGCCGCCATTATGGAAGAGATGACACGTGACGTGTGTCAATGCTTCCGTAAAATTATGGACATTTTACTTAGATCTCATCGCGATATCATTACAGTGGTGTCTGCTATCTATCAGTGTGCCTCGTAAGTAATTATTTATCAAGTTTTGTTGTGTTACACATTTGTTTATGAAGAAAAATTGGCTGCGTCAGTATCGTCACCAATCACCATGCTACTTGGGTTTAACTGTAGAGGCCTGGTCGGAATCGGCTGACAGAACTTTGTCAGCCGAGAATAAGCCCCGCCCACACCACGCTGCTGACGGGCTTGTTCATAATCGGCTGACAGGAAACGTCAGCCCAGATGGCGCTGAGATGCTAAGATGGCGCTCGACAGATAGGGTTGAGCATAGGGGTTGAGAGTTGAGGCTTGAGGAGAGGTAGCATTTTCGCGCTTTTTTCAACGACTATCTTCCGTTAGTCGTTACATTATATTTCTGAGGTTTATTTGCCGAGGCTGTAGAAAAAATTACAGGATTGATAATTGAGGCGGTGCTGGCATTTCGATTTGTAGGTACTGTTTTCAGGCTGACTCGCACATTGCGCCATGAAAAAGAAATAATTGCTATCTTTCGCGAAAAATATTTAATACAAAATACGTCAAAAATCGTATATAAAAATAACCACCTGCACTATAAAGCTGCGCTTTGACTTACATGCGCCACTTTCGAGCCACTTTGAATTTCGGCTGACGTGCTGCTGCCTTCTCCCAGCAGCCGAAAAGCCGGCTGTCAGCAGAGGTATGACGTCACAGCGCGGGAAGGCGTTATACGTCATCAATATCTCAACCAATCAGGGGCTTGGATCTCAGCTGACAACAGCACAGCAGCCGATTCCGACCAGGCCTTAGGTATCATGGGCTTTGTTTACATTAATGGTGTAGCCAGCCCAAGGTGTAGCCCATCATTGTCAATTGGGTCACCACTTTTGGATCATGATAACACACTTAACCCTGTCTTGACCGGACTGGAAATGAATGACTTGAATTGAAAGAATGTTTGATGGTTCAGGCATGGACAAGATTCAGGGTTCAAGTTATTTTCCAAACACCTCATGCAGTTGACTTGAATCCACATTCCAGTAAAATGACTGACCTGAATATTTGTTAATAGTTACAAAAAGTTATAAATGTTTTTTGCAATGCAAAATAAGAGACTGCCTGATTTGTTTTTGTTACCTTATTTCAAAGTTTTAGGTGCCTTTCAAGGCTTATCATATGTCTTGAGAAAGTTTGAAGATAATTCCCTGATTTCGGTATCTAGTCGGTATTTCCCCCTGTTTCTGAAAATCGGTTCGGTTTTGGTATACTCTCAGTGGTTTTGGTCGGTATCGGTTTGGTATTGGTTTCCAAAATTTCTGAAATTGACATCACTAAAAGTGAGTATCTAATGTAAATGAGTATCTAATGTAATATCTATCATCTAATGATCTCTAATGTATCTAATGTAAATGAGTCTGTGAGTTTGGTAAAAATTGGTATTTCCCTCATGTTCCCAAGTCGGTTAGGTTTCAGTATTTTTCCATGGGTATTGTTTGTATTTGGTTTGGTATCGGTATCACGATTTTCCGTAATTGACATCACTAGTTCATACCTTTGATAAATTGATAGTGAAGCTTCCCGATATTTTAGTCACCTTTTAGTGTTATACATGTGATCCGGCCAGAGGGCAGGGTGCAAACCCTGTCGTCGTTTCGCTCCTGATTATTTTAGCTAGATCTTCGCAAAAAGCGTGTGCGCCGTTACGAGACGCAGTGACTGGAAAGCGGGTATCAAATTTTAACCCCGCCCGTATTGGCCGTTTCATAGCTTCTTAAGTAGGTATGGGGGATCGTAGTAACCCGCCCTACAGCCGTTCGGCCCCTGATCCAACATGTGATATGATCATGTCGGCCCTGGTCATGACCATGTTGGTTCGTTTTCTATCACAAAAGCCTAGAAACGTGCAGATAAATATGTCGACATGCGTGGAACTCACTGGCTAACATGTTAACTGGTGGGCCAAATGGCCCACCAGTGACCCGAAATGGCCCACCAGCCTCAAAGATTTGCCCCACCAGTAATTTTCTGAAAAATCGAAGTTTTCACATTTTACATCACGACATAGGTAACATTGTGATACAGACAGAGACAGAGGCCCTACTACATTGTTGATTTATTAAAAGTAAGAACTTGATCGTCGTTGCCCGCCTCATACCATCACCATTCCCGGTGTCTTGAGACAGCCGTAGGTTAAGCCCCGGTCACACTTCACCGGATTGGACTAAAGGACGAGAAACGGACGGCGTCCGGTGATGTCGGGGGATGTCCGTTCATTTCCGTTGGACGTCCGTTTCTCATCCGTTAATATCTGTTCCATGTCCGGTGGTGTCCGGTGTGCTCAACCGGACACCACCGGACATGGAACGGATATTAATGGATGACAAACGGACGTCCAACGGAAACAAACGGACATCACCGGACGCTGACAGTTCTCGTCCGTTTCTCGTCCGTTGGTCCAATCCGTTTAAGTGTGACCGAGGCTTTAAATTTTATGCAATAATCGTGAAAGACGTTTGCCTCTGTCTTTTTTTTTCAGTTTGCCCAGGCTTCCGCCGGGGGTGTATTTATACATCAATCATCACGTGGTCATACACTCAACAGTTGCCAATTATATCACGTATTGTGTCCAATCCCACACATAATTACAATAAACAGTTCACACGCTAGGTTGTCCCTGTCTACCTCTACTAACCTACGGCGGATGCTTGCTGTTTTTAACATTTCCCTCAGCTGGTGCCATTCCTGGTTAATGTATGCATTGTGCTAGTAACTAAAGCATGATATCGCTCGACCCGAATATAATCACTACACATACCCACGAACCCCTGCATGTTCGGTGCTGCGCTATTCAGTCTGCATCGCCATATATACCATTTCCCTAGTAACACAATCATATATAACTGATTCCCAGATCCGCGACAGTGTGGCAGGTTTACACAAGCAGTACAGCCGGAGCCGACAATGGATCTCGCAGCCTCAGCAGCTGTCGCAACTGGCCCAAAAGCGCAACACTGCTGGACAGAGCCAGAACAAATGCAAGATAGACTCGCGTGAACTTGGGCAACGGTCGCAGCTATCTGAGGGAAGGATTCCGTACAGGTGCAAACGGCTATTAGTTGGGATAATACGATGCATTATTCGTAGTTGAAGCCATCTGAGCCTAAAGTCGGCGGGTACTAACGTATAACTTCTTAAAAGATTGGTCCAAACCGTAGGTGACAGGACTAATTCCGATTGCCATTTCCTTATGGCGGTTTCTGGTGCCGATATGGGACTGATTTCAGAAGCTTGGATAAGACCACTGGGCACACTTGTGAATAGAACTAATATCGCTTAAAATTTCCGGCTCGTCGTCGTTTATCGGTTTTTCCATCTCGAGGGTTCGCTTCCATTGGGCTGGAATTGATAAGAGCAAACTGTTCCAGCCGATAAAATGCGAAATATGGAAGCGCAGTTGTAGCTCGCTAGCTGTCATTAGCCGTCTTTCAGTGGGTTGTGTATATCTTTTATTTGAACGACTCCTCTTGCAATCATTTGACTAATTTTAATGGACTTATACATTTTACGTCTTTATTTGTACCATATCATCTTGGAGAGAATTTGCCGACCTGATGGGGTACAATCATCGGCTAATTTATACCAGGCATCAGCGACTCCTACCCAAACTCCATTGCGCAGCCTTTGACTGATGCATTTTTTATCGCCGTTACAATGAAATACCGTTATGTCTCGTCTGATAGTAAGCTTTTCGTGCATTAATACCTTCCATGGACTTGTACAGTCTGGGTCCAAGAATTTCTTAACCCAATGTATCTTTAAGCTGTTCGCCTGTGACCTGATGTCTGGAACCTGTAAGCCGCCTTCGTTTTTCAAATTTTTCATTGTTGAACGTTTTATTTTCTCTGTGCTCCCCCAAATAAATCTGAACATAATTCTTTCCAGCTGCTTAATGAGCTGTTGTGAGGGCATAGGGAGAACTGACATTAGATATACTAGTTGTGATAGGGCCTCAGATTTTAATACATGCACTTTCCCAAAAGGCGTTAAATCATGGCTTAGCCATGGGTTCAGCCGCTTTTTAAGGTTATCAATTTTCTTTGAATAGGATAAGTCATGTCACGTTTGTCTAGGGTTACTGTGACGCCTAAGTATTCAACAACATCAAACTTCCATTCTAAGTTTAATTCCGAACAGATGCCCTCTTTTCTCCTAGCAAACCGCCCTATCCATGCAGCCTGTGTCTTGTGTCTATTTAATTTCAAACCAGAAACTGCATTAAACTCTTCCAAGCACTGTATCGTGTTACGCAAAGAAGATGGCTTACCATCCAATATGAATAACGTGTCATCCGCATATGCAGACACTTTAAAGCAAGTATTATCTACGTGAAACCCTCCTATCAACGGATTGGACCGAATCTTTTGTAGCATGGGCTCAATGCTTAACAGAAATAAACTGCAACTAAGTGGGCACCCTTGTCTCAGACCCCTAAGAATTGTGTACGGATCAGACAGTTGGCCGTTTATCTGCAACTGAGCCTTCGGAGGAGGGTTGTCTGGGCTGGGATAAATAAGGTCGATCCATCTGAGGAAATTATCCCCGAAGTTGAACCGCTTCAAAACGAACTTCAAATACTCCCAATTTAGAGAATCATATGCTTTCTCCCAATCACAGAACAAAAGCATGCCACCCTTCTCCTTTTCTGCCGCAAACGTAATCAAATCGAGCACCAATCTAATGTTTTCGCCTATATAGCGACCCTTTATGAATCCTGTTTGATCTCCATTTATTAGACGTCCAATTACCCTCGAGACACGCCGCGCAATGGTTTTTGTGAATATTTTAAATAGAACATTTAGCAGACTAATGGGTCGTAAATTCTCAACGAATCTTGTATCCTTATTTTTCTTATGTATCAATATAGTGACACTCCTCTGTAATTCCTCAGCGAAAAAACCTCGCTCATAACTTTCATTTAACGCTGATTGAATAAGAACTCCCAATTCTGTCCAAAACGCTTTATAAAAGGGCACAGTGAATCCGTCAGGACCTGGACTAGTAGAGCTTTTCATCGAAAAGAGGGCATCTTTAAGTTCGTCTAACGAAAGCTCGCCATCTAGTTCCTTACATTGTTCCGGTGACAATGACGGTAAATTAACGTTCGCCAGAAAACTATCAGCGTTTATGCGATCTTTTCGATTATATAGACCACCAAAAAATGTTTTGCACTCGAGCAGCATTTTGGAAGTTTCCTGCGAGTAACTGCCATCCCCGGAGTGCACCAGAGCCATGCACTTTAAAGGTGCTTTAACCCGCGCCCTGCTGGGGGTCCTGGATTTCCACGCCCTGCTGGGGGGGGGTGTTTGAACACCCCCCCTTGTAACTCGGCTCCTGGGCCACGTAGCGATACGCGGAAGGCGGCGTTCGAAAGAGCGTCAAAAATAATGACGAAATCACTTCGGTCAATTTTTTGGTCAGGTCAAAGGTCAGGTCACCAGAGGTCATTGAAGGCAAAATTTCGCCGATTTCCAGGTCGAATGTAGACAATTTCCAAGAAGCCAACGCATAACTCGGGAACCAATAGAGCTACAGCGCCGCGGAAAAGCGCATTCGATAGCCCTATTAACACCCTTTCTGAGTAATTCTCTCAGATTTGACCTAACGTCAACGGTTTTGCCTGCAGGGGGCAAAAACTGCAAAAATAGCCGATTTTTTCGAAAACAGTTTTTCTGCAATAACTTTTGACCCAAGCCTTGCGCGAGCTTACTTTTACCGGCGTCGTGTTCCTCTCGTCAAGACGCATCGAATGAACTATAACTTGACCTTGAAAGGTCAACTTGAAAATTTGACCTCAGGTCAAGGTCATGACCTGACCGGAAAGGGTCATGTTGCATATCAGTCGATCCGTATCGTCGAGCTGAACACATCTAAGGCGTTTTCATTGCTCTAGCATGCCTCTATCAAAAGTTATTTGCGAAAAACTGTTAGATACCATTCGTGACCTAAGATGACCTCAGGGCACAAACAAGGGTCACGGACACCATTTTCAAGTTCAGTGTGTCTAAACCACTTGTAATTCGGTGTTTGGGAGTGTTTATAATGTCTTTCATCCAAAAGAGGCGCATTTCAATTTTCTCCCATTGACTTATAATGGGGAGGTCGCAAAATTGACCTGACCTTAGGTCATCGATATCAAAATTCGAGATATACATTTTGTACATGCTATTGCTCTTAGCAATCGCTGAAAGTTTCAAAGCGATCGGTCACTCGGTGTAGCTATGACAGACATTGAAACTTTTTATGAGGTGAGGTCACTTCAAGTGACCTGGTGACCTGACCTTGAATGACCTTGGTCTAAAATTTTCACAACATGTGTAGAATTGATGTATGATAAGGTGTACCAAAAATGGCGGCGCTCCGCGCCGCCGTTTTTGAGATATTCGCGAAAAACCACAAGGGGGGGTGTTCAAACACCCCCCCCCCCAGCAGGGCGCGGGTTAACCCGATATCGCGTATTAAGTCCATGGAAGTAAGCCGTACCCCGCTCGGCAAAGTGCCTCCACCGGGCTCGATTCCTATCAATGCTGATTCTGGTCACCTTCTCCAATAGCTTATCTCGCTCTGAAATCATCCGGTTCAGCTCTGCACTGTCCGGCTCCTCAGTGACATTGTTAGCGGCATTAATTTTTGCTTCTAAACTTCTTAAATCAAAATCTATCTGCCTTCTGGCCCGTGCTGAGTACTGAATAACCCAGCCTCGAAAAACACACAACACCGTTTGGAGACGAAGGTTATGAGAGTTACAAACATTTTCCTGCAGTATTAAATTAATGTTTTCCTTAGCATCATTAACAAAATTTTCGTCCGCTAGCAGGGCGTTGTTAAATTTCCAATACGATTTGCCAACTTCAGGCTGCTCGATGACCAACTCTAAAAGGACTAGCTTATGGTCCGCAAGATAGCCGTCAAGTATTTTAGCATATGGTTCCTTAGACTGGCGTAAGAATGAGTTGCTAATGAGGAAAAATATATGCGCGATTTACTCGCAGGATTTGAACGATGGAATGAAAATTCCCTTTTGCAAGGATGAAGATGCCTCCAAATATCAATCAAATTATTTGCGACCATGTAGTCCACTACAGCTTTCTTGCATTTGTTGTTGTTGCGTACGTTACGAGCTGTTGACATTCTATCAATATCTTGCATAGTAAAGTTGAAATCTCCACCTCAGATCATTTCAGTGCATTCAATATCATTACATCTATTCAGCAATTCGGTGAATGTTGCAGGATTATCAACGTTTGGACCATAAGAACACACCAAGACTATCTCGCACCTATTCAAATTTACACAGGCTATGATAAATCGGCCGTTATCACAACGTATTGTACGCGTTACATCGACTTTGACACTAGGGTTGAAAAGTATAGCTACACCGCGGCTCCTCGAGTCCCCGTGTGCGAACAGTGCTCGGCCTCCCCACTCTTTCTGCCACATGTTTTCTACTGTCGGATCTGAGTGCGTTTCTTGAAGAAAAACAATATCAACCCTATGTAACTTCAGCCATTTAAACAATTTACGTCGCTTCAACGGATCATTTGATGACCTTAATCCATTGACATTTAGCGTAGCGATTTTAGTGTATCTTGTCATAGCACACAGAAAGATATAACATGCGATTTGACGGACTGGCTGTTACCACGCGTTGCAAACGCCGCATGTACCAGCAACGACACATCTTGATATTCAGCAGTGTATATACTCTTAACACAAGACGCAATACAAATACTACGCAAAGACCCCGTCTCCAACCCACAATCCCAACGCCCCCCACCTCCCGTACGTCCCACTCCCACCCTCCCGCACCACACATTCGCGCCCTCCTGCACCGAACGCGACGGCGCGGTGGCTGGGCGGCGCGGGCAGCCCGGCAAAAGCGCAGCCCAGCAGTCCAGCCACCCCTCATAGTCTTTACTTCTAAGGATTCACTGTATCACAGAACGTAATCGGACCTTATAGAATCCAAAATAAACTTAAAAATTTCAGACCA